ATAAGTCAGACAGGTACTAAAGTGCCAAGCCATGTAGAAACTAATAGGAGAGCAAGAGGATTTTGAAATCAACATGAAACCTCATAGGAAGCCAGTTACAGAGCATTCATGCAGTGAATAGTTTTGCAACTTTGTAAGAAAGTGAGTAAGAAAACTGTGTTTTAATTACTTCTTTCAAACCAATGATTATCTGAACCATCCATGACATTCAGTCTTCAATGAACATCCACACAAGCATGTATGTTGCAGCATTATGAAATGTTAAACAAAAGGATAGAATCATAGTATATCGGTCAAGAAGACTTGAACTGGAGAATAAGCAACAAGAAGAAACAGCTAAAACCATGAAGCAGGCACAGGCTGCTGTCCAACTTTCCAAGAGTAAACCATTTTTTTCCCCAAGAACATTTAGTAATTTTACTGAAAACAGTACCTGAGAGCAACTCTGTACTTCTGTCCCAGTTTTTCAATCTCTGCTATCACACAATCAGTGACACAGGGAATGCCTACACCCAAAAAAAACAGTATTAACACAACTGGCCTATAACAGAAAGAGTCATGTATATTAAAAAGATGGCATTAACAGGAATATACAGTTTTTGCTTCGATATCCGACTGAACGTAATAAGGCTCTCTAAATGAGATACTTACATTTAGCATACAAACAGTCCATCATCGATTGCACAATGTCAAGTTTAGCTTTAATGGAGAAGTTAATGAAATTAGTGTCCACCAGGATGTGGTAAGGAGGACCCAGCTGCGTGTTGTATTGAAAGAAAAGGCAGGAGGGATACTTGGTACTGTAGAAATATGGACAAAGAAAATAATATAAGTTAGCAAAGCTGCTTTGTGTGCTGAACCATACAGTGATAGGTCGATTGAATGCATTAACAATCCAGAGCTCTGTGATGCAGAGGGTAACAGTTAAGTAAAGTGTCTAGGCTAAAAACAGTTTATTAAACAAAATTATTTTTAAATTTTTTAAATCCATCCATACATTTTCTAACCACTTCTTCCAAATCTGGGTTGTGGGGCGGCTGCAGTCTATTCTGGCAAGCAACGGGCACAGGCAGGATACACCCTGGATGGGATGCCAGTCCATCACGGGCTCACACAGACACAAACACGCACATGGCAGGGACAGTTCTCCCAGAAGCCATTTAATCTGCTTGTATTCGGACTGTGGGAGGAAACCTGAGCAACATTTAAGTATGAAATAGAGTACATCTTTTTAAAATAAATACATGTGATTTTTTGAAGCACTTTGTAATGATCAGTGATATCTTCCTATAGACTGCACAGTTTGACTTGAACCTGTTTCATTAAGGAGAAACATAAATGCATTTACTTTCCACTGATTTGATTTAGTTAGTAAACTATGGGAACCCCTGATCATAGCACGAATGTAAATCAGAGGCATTAAAAACTAATACTCATTTTCCTTCCCGCATTTTTTATATTTTTCATTTTTAGCAAACATTCTTGACTTCTGTCAACACATGCTTGACTTCGGTGTTTTCTGACTGTGATTTAAATCACAATAAAATCTAATCTCCATCTGATTTTAGAATTTTACTTACACTTCTCTTTCCTTTATTGCAGATGGGTCTTCTTTCTTTTTCTGTTGTGTTTTAGCTCGGTCTTCCGGTTTTCTTTAAAAGAATGTATTCAGAGATTTCTCAATATCGGTCTTTAAATTCAAGTACAAAGTGACCCTGAAACCTGGAAATGTATTTACAGATACTTGCTGAGAAAAAAACACTTTTTGTATGGGTGAGAATGTTTTAATTATGGAGTGTTGTTTGGACCCAAAATAACATTCAGTATATCAGTGGACCTATTAAGACTTACTGGCAGGTAAGTCTTTTGTGGAAATAATGCAAAGTACTACTTCTTTCCTAATTGGAATTAATATTTTGAACAGAATGACACATAGCAGTTACAACAGTATATTAAACTGCCGTATTTCTTTCCTCTCGATGAAACTGACCTCGTCTACATCTTCAGCTTACACTTTATGTGACTGAATTTCCAGTATTTATAAATTCACTGTAATATGAATAATTGACCTAAAATAGACTATAAATATTCCATCACAAACTTACAGCCTTTGATCCTTCAAGCTTATCATCCTTTTCATCACCGCATATTTCTTTGCTTTCTTCTGTTTCCCCTACAAATCGATAAAAATAATGTTTTTTTCCCAACACAAAAATAGATACCGTAAAGAAAATTAATCTTTATCCTAAGTTTTCAGCGAAATGCCCCATTTCTCTATAACTTCCTAAAACACGTGATTTTCCTAAGAGTACAGTTTAGCAATAACTTTAACACAACATCGAAATCACCAGGTAATAAGATCAAGAAGCTCAATATAAACGAAACGTTTAAAATTCCACTTTTAGTAAATTATTATAAAACATTTATAACGAGTATACAATGGAGTATAATAAACTATGAGAATTCTGCAACAATGCATTTAAACGTTTTTTCAATAATTATAATAAGTATAGCCTATAATTCTATTATATTACATGATTTCGTTAACACAAAAAGACTAAACTTGATTTGTACTTTTGTAGTAAGTCGAGTTATTTTTACAACTTAAAAATGAGGATTTAACACATATAGGCAACTTTGACCTTTAATTCAAGACAAGAAACGCATGAATTACAACTTAAGTCCTGTGTTTCCTATTTACACAGCAAACTGTAAATAACTTACCATGATTAAAAACAATTTATTTCCTCCCTCCTCTAACCTCGTGTTTCTTCGTTTCTGGGAACGTCACCAGTAATCGCCCCAGTCTGTACGTCATTTTTCTGCGCCTTGTTTCCTACGTGCGTTGCGTCTCTTCCGGAGGTGCTTAGGTAAATACTCTCAAGGTAGGGAAGAAGTGTGTAGTTGACTTGGGGGGGGATTGTGGATATTATGAAAATCTATTGCATTGTCTGTGACATCATGTTAGTGGTTCTTTTTTACCTTAATTGATACCAGATTTATAGAGGTCAGTGACATTAGCTTTATTTATAATGCTGGCAGGATACTAACAGCAAGCTAGGGATAAGTACTGTGCGTCTTGCTACGGGTTTCTTGATATTGTAGGTGGGTGCATCGCTATATATAATATATATATATACATTTTTTCAGATGTTTAATTTGTTTTTGTATCGTATTAGCGTGTTTTTTAAAATGACAAATTAGGATGTTTGTCTCCAGGTCACCGTGACTCCTTTCACTGGCAGTAATGTATTCAGTCATTCAAGATCTGTATCAAAATAATAAGTTAAACCTTTGATACATTAGTTTTTTTTTTAATGGATCGAAATCTGAGAAAATTACTCTGGGACTTGCTTATTTTTCTTTTGTAGTCCAGCAGTGTAGTCTGTTGTGCATGCGTTGTCTCAAAGTTTCATTTTTTTCCATAGTTTTACAATAATGTTAGATTGTCCCTTTCGACGTTCTCGAGAGAACATTGAATACCAAATAAAAGCACGTTGTTAGGCAATAGATTTCTCTTTATGTTTCTTGGGATTTAGCATATTGACCACCGTTAGGGACATACCACCGGAATTTAAGAACTCCTTACGACCTTTGGTAATGTTTAGTATGTTGAAGACACCAGTCTTCGGTATCTCTTCTTACAAATAAATCTGTTACTGTTGCTAGCCAAACATTTTCAGCTCCACTAAAACAATACTTTGGAATCCTTTAAAGTTAAAGGCACAAATTTGTATAAAAAGCAGGGGATATTTTTTTTCATGTTTCCCTTATAATAGGTAAATATCTGTTATATGATATAACAGATATGATAAGTCAGACTGTTCTTATGATGTTTTAGTTGGAAATTAGCTTGAGCTATTCAATTCTGAATCAGATCAGGAAGATTTCATTTATAAGAGTTCAGCTTTTGATTACTCTTTCGTGCTCATTAAAAATTGTAATTAGAAACTTTTTTTCTGCTAAATTAATTTGGATGGATAACACTAGCTTTGTATCTCTTTAAAATCAGGAAGAATGTAGTGTGCAATGTTGAGTGTTGCATGGATTTTCAGGTAGCTTGGATCACTGATCTTTGTATTAGCCTTTACTAATTAAGTGTTGTTTTTGATCAAAAAGGCTTTCTTCTTCGAGATCCATTTCAGATGTTCAGGCAGTTTTTTAAATACCTGCTTGGAGTATGGGGAAGCAAATTTGTTTGTCTTTTCTGAAATTGATACCATATGTATAATTTATTTTTTCCCTTTTAGGCCTATTTTTTTCAATACTGTCAGGGTTACACATTCATTTTTCATTAAACCAGATTACATATCGTCTCCAATCACCCAGCACTCTTCTCTTGCAATGTCTATTAATATTGATGCTCACACTGTGATATCAATGCAACATTGGCTGTATCTCCATGTCTAATGGTTAACATACTAGATTCCACAGAAGCAGATGGGTATTTTTCTTAAGAATTTATTTACCATTACATCAGATCATCAAGTTGTACTGTATATAAAAAAAATGTCTTCAAGTTTAGGGATATCTGTGTATATTATCTATGTTTCAATTTTGTTTCAGGTTTCCAGAAGAAGGAAACTGACGGAGTGCTTGAATTAATCTGTGATTTCGTGAGTGACCTTGACCGTTGTGGCGGTAGATTGTCGTGGCAATCCTGTGCAAAGGGGCTGCAATTTTCTGTTCCTCTAAACGCTCTTTTCTATGAAAATCGGCTTCCCAGTGTTAAATCTGGCTCCTTAACAAACAAAAAAGCCAAGTCCGAGTTAAAGATGGTCTGATGGACCGACGCTTCTTGCTGACTTTTGCCTTTTGTTCGATTCTGTGGGTTCTTTTCTGGGAAATCAGGTGGAAGAAAGCAAAAGAAAATCAGATTGAAGAATGGCTCCATGGCAACAGCCTTTCCGAATACAAAGACATATTTGAAGGTTAGTTGAAAAGATTTGATTTAATCAGCATCTCCATTGTAGTGTAAACCTCCATTACAATTGCTGTAGTTCACTGAAACATTTCTGAGTGCTTTTGTAGTCAGGAATGCATTTACTGTTTGTGCAGAGTAAAGGAAGATTAGACATTATTGAACAGTTTTAATTTCTCTTTACGAGTACAGATATCGAGGAGCAAATCTGAAGCAAGTGTAGGAATTTAAACCAGCCCAAAATTCAGTTTCACAGCATCCATTGAACCTTTTGACTGCTTCACACATTCTCAGTATTAGCGTTCTATTTGTATTTGGTGCTGTGTGGACGTAATTTTTTGCTTATTGTTGTGTGTTGGTGTCCAGTATAACGACTGAATGACCTGAGAGAGTTACTGTGTGTCTTGGTGTAGATGTGCAGTCCCTTGAAGAGCTGACCTTAAGTTTGCTGTCTCGACTGGAGGAAGTTCTGCAGGAGACACAGTACTGGCAGGAAATTGAGGAGTCTCGGAACCAGCTGCTCCGTGACTTTGCCTTTCAGGAGTGGCTGTGCTCTCAAGGTCTAGAGCACTACTACCACACGTGAGCCTGTTTATTTTTATAGACACTGAAACTGACAACAGCAAGGAGAAGTAAACTTATGTGGAATCTGATACCATGTGTTATTCTATCTGCTGCAGCACGGTGCTACAGTTGCTATAGTAATTTTAGCTCTTATCACTTAACAATGATTGACATAGTCAGCATTATATTAGAGTGCTTGTTTGGTTTTGTTAAATGATAGTATTTGAAATGACATTCAAAGGTCACATAATGTAAATAAAGAAAACAAATTCATGTTAATATAGCTTGAACTGACCATGACTCGGACTCCCCAGCTAGCAGTAAGGTTGGGGTTAGTCACCCAGGGCTCTTGCATCTATTTAGCAAATAGCGGCTTCTGTGCCCTCATGGCTGCCAGGGGGATTGCAGTGATGTCAGGGAGACTGCCGGTCCTTCAGTGGGCATCAGCTCTCCTGTAGGGCACCGTGGAACTTGACACTTGTCTTGATAAGTAACTGGCCCAGAAGCCATTGCTTGTTCTCTCCGCATGGTACAGGAACTGTTGCTGTGTGTTGAGATGTTAAACAATCAGTTGGCAGTTCCAGATTGAGTGGATGTTAAGTAACAGATCCGAACAAAGTAATGGTATAAACTGTAGGTCTAAAGCATGAATACACTCTAATGTGTCAAGAGATTTTTTTGTTCTGTGTGAGACAGAGAAGTCAAAGTTGTCTGCCTTGCTCACTCCACATGCCATTGTGTAAATTAGTAGAGCCTCATTGATTTTGTTTGATTTTTGGTTGCTTGAAACAAACTGTATCAGAAGGCCTAGTTAGCATGCTATGGATGATTCACAAAATCTAAATATATCAATATGCACAATTGACAACGGGGCCTAATAACAATAGTAACAGATGTTAATATGATGTTTATTGAAAGCTGTAATTCTCCCTCTTCCACAGGAGGGCAGTATTGATGTGTTTATGGTGTTTTTAAGAAATTTGACATTCTCAGTTTGAACTAAATGAAATTCAGAGCCAGAAGCATTACACTTTCGTAGTGCTTTCCGTTTAATTGCCTTGACTTCATTAAAACCAGCCTTTCATCAAACATTCTTTCACTTTTATTGAAAGGTAAGCACTCAAACTAGCTGTACTGCTTTTGTAATCTATTGTGCTGTACCTGGAGACTTATTTATTAAGAGCCAACAATGTGTAAGAAACACTGGTGGTTCTTATTATGTTTGATTTGAACTTTAGACCAATATTCCTTCTTGTGCTGGCTGGCCAAGTTCAAGAAACTGACCTGAGAAGACAAGTAGAATATTTGCACATCTTAACTGTAAATCAAGGAGAGGTTCCTCTTTGATGATAGTTTGATAGTTGAATGGGAACCATGTTTCTTTCCATAAAGAAAAACTTCTTGCTATAAGTTTACATTAGCTGTTAATGCATCCATATTTAATATTCAAACCTACCCTGTTGTCGAACAGGAAGTGACAGTCAGAGGCTTAGGAGGAAGTAGGTTTTTTTTCTTTTTGGTATCTTAATACTTTTCAGAAAGCTCTCTGAAAAGCAAGTGTACTACAGTGTGTGACCTGTGAAATGGATTGAATGCTATGAAGCTTACTTGTGTTTCGAAATGTTTGGTTCCTTTTTTCGTGTTGAAGATTAAAGTCCTTGGGCTGCTCGAGCTTGGATGACTTAGCTGAGTTTGACAGTCAGCTGCAGCTCTCACTCGCTGCCTGGGGATACTATTACGAAGATTACATCAAGCTGTCCACAGGTGTGAAGGTCCTCCAGGCCTCTCGGGGGCGCCGGGACCAGGACTACGAGACAAGGCTGGTGCACAGCCTGGCTGAACGCAGGTTGAATGAGAAGTGGTCTATAGGTGGGTTTCCAGGAGTAAAAGATACAGAGTCTTTCCACTGCATTATTTGCTTATTTGCAGCATATTCCTTAATGACCTAAAGGCAAGCAAGGTGAAAAGAGTTTACTGTTTTCAACAGCAGTGATGCTGTAAGATAAATAGAAGAGTTGGTACGGTATCTTATACAGTGAAAAGATATCTTACCAAACTTCATTAGCTTCATCCTACAATTAGAGGTTTTTACAATATAGTGTAAGTCTTGTATTCTGCCTATGATTGTACAATAAGACAACCTCTTTAAGCCGAGTCCAAGAGCTTTCATCCATGGTATAGTGCTATTTACTGGAAAAGCTTGATTTCATTACATAGAGTGCTTTTTGTAGTGCAGCACCACTGACCGCTACCTGCACTGTCATCTCTCAGTCAGAAATCTTGTTTTTCAGGCCTTACAGTGCAATTTAGAAGTTGTTCCTCACTTTCAGCACATAAGCAATTTGACATGTTTTAATTATGTCATTGAATTTATATTGGAGGAACATCCCATTAAAATTGGTGTTCTTCGTGACACCTGCTGAAGTAAAACTGAAGTATGCTCAACAATTTTACTTCTTACCATGGAAACAGTGTGTATAGTAGTGTATTCAAATTACATTTTAGGATTTCTGTTCATGTCCATTACCTATTGTTCTTTTTTTTCAGCTGGTGCTCTGATTTTCGGCTGTACTGTTGCACTGTGCTTTCTGATAAGGGACCTCATGTTTTACGTGATTGGTGAGTCAGCGAGGAGATCTGGGCGTTGTGAATCCTTTGAGAAAACCACTCTGGGGCTGGGTTTCCTGAAGACAATCTGTTTTTCCTTCTCAGGTGGAATTACAGTTTCCATCATCGCATTTGTCTTCACAATAAAGTTCCTGTGCGAGCTTGCGGCTCGAGTCGTCAGTTTCCTTCAGAATGAGGACCGCGGCAGGAGAGGAGACCGTAGCATTTACGATTATGTCCGTGGCAACTACCTCGACCCTAGGTCATGCAAGGTGTCCTGGGACTGGAAGGACCCTCAGGAAGTGGGCCACACTATGGCCTTCAGAGTTCAAGTACGGCCCATCCTTCATCTGATGTTCAAATTTCTATGAGAAGGAACTTTCCATGGTGTCATCTTAACTGGTTGTCTCTGTGCAGGGACTCCAGGCTATTGTTTCATTCAAGGAATTTAAAAGTGCACATTTATTGTACCCATGCTGTGTTTTTAATCCTTCTCTTCAAGAATTTTTTTCTAAAACTATTTTTAAAGGCTTAAAAATGTATGCATTCTTCACCTGCACCATTCTGCCATGTAGGGATGGTAGGATTCACAGTGCAGTGCATCGGAGGTTTGAAATGAGTTTTAATTTGTGAAGAAATCAGGCCATTTCTAGAAGAACAGTGAATTACAGCAGTGTTATAGAGGGTTTGATAGTCTGGGTACAGCCAAAGACACCTCATGTTATTACAATGAATGGGTATTTATCAGTGGCGATTACAACATATAAAAACAAAGTTCTGGCACATTGGCTGTTTCTAATAATGTTATCTCTGCCTTGCAGACACTCCTGAGGTGTAACGTAGAACAGTTATTTCTGACATGTCACATTCAGCAGGCGTCTGTTTGAACTGCACTCAAGCCAGCTCAGGAGTAATGATCCCAGGTCAAAATCAGATTTCTACACCTAACTAAGCACTCCTGGGTTTGGGTGGGCTTCAGCTAACCAAGGTGCTCTTACAGTAGCTTTTGTCACCCATTCTGGTCCTGCAGTGGAGGATTGTCACTACAAAACCAAGTCATAATCGACTGCAAATTCCGAATTGGGTGATTGTCAAAACAGCATAGAGCTGGTGGTTTCTTTTTTACAAAAAGAGATGTCGAGTAACATTTATTCTGCTTTTTTCCCCCCGTGTTTTCCAGTTATTTTATAAAAATGGGCAGCCGTATCCGGCGAACAGGCTGGTGGGCTTGAGAGTGCACATCTCTCACATCGAACTGGCGCTGGACATTCCTGTCACACAGGAGGTGCTTCAGGAGCCCAACTCCAACGTGGTCAAAGTGGCCTTCACGGTCAGGAAAGCTGGCCGCTATGAGATAACCGTCAAGCTTGGGGGCCTGGACGTTGCCTATAGTCCCTACTACAAAATCTTTCAGCCAGGTCTGTCTTTTCCGTTGTGCTGTGTTTAACGCACACTTCCATTCTTCTATGATTTTATCCAGTCCTCTTTGTTTCACCTTTCAAGGCTAACTACTTGAAAACTATTTGGTTTGTTTGTTAAATCTGAAAACCAGAGCTTAGAAAATGTCAGCATCCATTGTGTTTCTGTATTTCAGGCACAGTAGTACCCTCAAAAACAAAGATTGCCTCCCACTTTTCCACTTTGGTGTTGACAAATGGGCAGCAACACACTTTACAGATTGAGCCTCGGGATGAATATGGCAATCCCACCAGCAATTCTGTCTCTTTGATTGATGAAGATAACTACAGCGTACGGATCCATCCGGTAAGGTGCCAGCAAATTGTTCCTAACACTGGCACATAGCAATAACTAAAATGCCGACAGCAGGCAGTGTTCAGTAATTACTCTGAACTACAGTATGTAAAACATGTTTTAATGAATGTTACACCCACTGTTGAGGGAAGGATACAAACGATTGAAGTCAAAATTTGTAAATTGATAAGTAAGCATCAGTTAACCTCATGTGAGGTTTTGTATTTTTTACTATTTTATCTTAGAAAAGTAGAATGTTACCACTTATTGAGAATCATCTTTAAGAGCACTAGTTTCAATCCCTAATTTGTCCAGTACATGCCACCCCCATTTTATTCTGCTTCTTGCTAGCTTGGTACTCAAGATGAAGAATGCTCTGAAGATTACTACTGCAAGTCAGTGTCATCTAACAAGGAACTTTGCCAAGTTCTCTTGAGACTGACCATCAGGAAAAAGGGATGTTTTCGAACCTGCATCTCTTACCAGAATCAGCCCATTAGCAACGGAGAGTTTGATGTAATTGTACTGAGTGGTGAGTAAAATACTCTTTTTGGAAATAGCCCAGATGCTACAGGAGAGGTTCAGGTAGTCTTAAGAAGGCCTGGACTTCCTGCCCTGTTTTGTCTAACTAGCAATGCGTACTGAAGCTGTTTTCAGGCTAGCACTTGAACCCCAGTCCTGACCCAGTGTCACAGGTGTCAACTGAGCAGTTTCACTCTCTAGTTTCAACAATCATGGTTGACCCAAGACCACAGACCGAGCAAAGCAAAAACTCCTCACGAAGGAGAAGTTTTTGCATGACCATGCTTAGGATAGACATTTCGATTTTTCCTTTCTTAAAGCCCCATCATGCTTTTAGCCTCACTAAGGGTCAGCCCCACACAGCCAAACTCTAGTGAATCCACTTACAACGCAGGTGGGCTCAATAGGAGAACTTTTCTCCCGGGTCCCAGATATAATGAGCAGATCTTGACTCAAGTCCAGAAATCTAGCAGCTTGAGAGAAGCTGTTTGAGTAGTGAGTCATATTTTTAGGTTTTTTCATATGGAGAGGCTAAGTGAACAGTTATCAGAATATTAAATTTGACAGGAGTTACGGCAGTTGTTACACACAGACACCTTTAGAGCGCTATTCACCGGTTCACTTCGGTAGGACAGAAATGTTTAGAAAAGCTTCTGCTTCGGGGCAGTAGGACATGACTTACTGACCCATGACCCTGTTTCCCCACCAAACTCCACCCCCACGACCCCAAACAGAAAACGAAAAGAACTGCGTGGAGAAGAATGTTTCTACCCCAGGGGTCAGCATCTATTTCGAGGCGTATCTGTACAGCACAGGGAATTATGCCAACGCCTCATGGCAGCTGCCTGCCTCCTCACTGCTGGCGCCTCAGAGGCGGCCCTCCACCGCCAACGAGGACGAAGAGGAAGACAGGGACTCCCCGTCTGAGGGGCAGCCGGAGAAAGTGAAGAAACCAAAAAAGGTGTACTGTTACATATCACCTAAGGTAGGGCTCTTGTTGATGAGGGGCACTCCAGGAAGAACGTAGGATCTGTTTTAATGTAAGATGGGGCTTCTGCAGTGTTGTGTGGGTTTCCATTGTTGGGCTGCATTAAAGTTCGCAATCAAGCTGGCTTTTAAAAGCCACACATTCCTTAGATTACGAACGGGAGATCCCTAACAGGCATTATCAAAGCCGGGCGTGTTACTTTCTTTTTTTTTTTGTATTTAACTCTGCTGACAAAAATAGTTAGCAAAAAGTACCCCGCTATACAATGTGTGGCAAGAAAAGAGAATGAGGGGTTGAATGGAACAGATGAGATAAGAACTAACTCCTTTTATGATTTTGTTTTGTGTTTCTGTCAGAAGGTCCCTCTCTGTTTATAGTTAATAGCATCTGCATTTGTGTACATTTTCATAATCCCCATATTTGAGTTGTAATTATACAGTATTTTCAGAATTGCCAAAGAACATCATCATTTTGAATTCCCTTGTAACTGTAAATAGATGGAATATGTCTGCTGGACTCTCATCTCTTACGTGAGAAATACATACCCTATGATACTGTAAAGTTTTTATGAGGATGTAACTCTTAAGTTCAGTTAACATTATCCTTGTTGTTCATTTTAAGCAACTCTCTGTGAAGGAGTTTTACCTGAAAATCATTCCGTGGCGCCTTTATACCTTCAGAGTATGCCCAGGAACAAAGGTAGGTGGCAGCTTGATGTTGGAATTCCAATGTGAATTGGAAGTAACGATGGTGCTTGTGGAAGGAGTCAAACAGGCAGCTCTGAGGGCAATAGCTCTTATGTGTATTTGGCACAGCAGGGACTGCTTGCCCAGCTGTCAGGTGTCCTGTCACAGACTGCTTGGCTCAGATGTTGGGCAGGAGTTTCTCGTCACCACAGAACTCTGCCGGTCTGCATGGCGCCACATTGATGAGGTCCTGGGACCTCAGTTGCTGACCTCCCTGCTGTTTCATCCTGACACAGCAGCAGGCCTCCACCTGCTGCTTGTGTAACGAGGGCTTGCTTGCCTGATGAGAATGTGACAGTTCGTGAATTACCTGCTCAGCTGACGTGAGCCCCATTGAATGTTTTTAGAATGATCCAAAACAAAGTTTGGCAGTTGTGGGTCACAGAGACCAGGCACATGTTTGCCCGGGCTGTCCTGGAACCTGCTGCAAAGCATCTGTCACAGATAAGCAGCACATGGCTCTTTGGGAAGTGGTCACATACAGTACACTGCTGACCTGTGTCTTTAACAAAAGAGCCATGCTTGATCAACCCTGTTTATTGCTATTTACCTATGTCATGACTTTTCAATAGAATGTCATTGGACTTGCTCAAAAACTATTGTTAATTTTCAAGCACCTTTTTTAAATTTGATATTTGTTATAATTAAGTTTCCTTTGATAGTATATCACCTGTTCAGCACATTTGCTTTGAAGGAACATTGAAAACTAATTTTCAGACTCAAGATTCATTTAGTATTATTTGCGTATCCACTTGAAACTACAAATAGGTCTGTATACTATTAGTGTCATAATAAATATTTCCGTACTCACTTGGGCTACCCATGTTAAAATTGTTTCTAAAAATGTATTATCCCTAATTGTGTTGATGTTTGTGTTTTGATTTACTGAAACATCATTTTGATTTACAGTTCTCGTACCATGGTCCAGACCCCATTCACAAATATTTGACGTTGGTGGTGGATGATGGGATACAGCCACCAATAGAACTGAGCTGTAAAGACAGGAACATAATGGCTGCAACTTTTATCCGCTTTCTGCACAAAAATATTGGTGAGTTTAATGGGCTATTATTCCATTGACTGAATACTGGCACTGTCCAACATAGCAGAGAAAAACGCCATGAGATAGGTGAATCAGCTCTGTGATAAAATATTGAGGAACAGTGTTATCGGAACGTTTCCTGTCTGCACAAGCCTGGAGGAAAAAGATTGCCCTACTTTCCCCAGCGAATAAAATAAAGTTTAAAGCGGAATTATTTATGTTTTTTGTTTATTAAGGAAAAACAGCAATTATTTTCTGACCTCTAGTCAGACGAACTAAAAGTTGAGCGCTGTGTTTCTCTGGATTTGTGTGCGTGTTAAACAGGAGGCTCGGAAACATTCCAGGACAAAGTGAGCTTCTTTCAGCGGGAGCTGAGGCACTTGCACTCCAAAAGACCTCGTACAAAGACCTGCCTGAAGATCAGCCGCCACTCTATTCTTGACTCGGTGAGGTGGCAATGCAGCCCTACTGCAGTGAAGACAGTTGGAGGAGCCTCTCCACACAACATCTTTTCACCCTACAGTTCTGTACAAAATACTCCTATGCTTTTAAAAAGGAAATTTGGGAACTGAATAGAAAATATTGTACTGTAGCCCAGATTATTTCATAACCCATTTGCAAACAGCAAATCCCACACTTACTGGCAAGTATGGATTCCTAGATTCTCAATGCTTTTCTCTGATTAAAAAAAACTCAGTAGCAAGTGCTCATTGTATAATCTGTTGGAGGGCTGAAGCTTTGATTGAATTTGGTACTGTGTAATGACCTTAACTCTAAGGTCAGATCTCTAACCCTTAGCAATAACCCCCAAAACAAAAGCAAAACCCTCTAATGTTCTGGTTTGTTTTGTTGTGTTTTATTTTATCTTTTCTTCTCGCAAAAACGTAATTAAATGGTGTTATTCCTCAGTCCCTGAAGGCCACACGGAACTTCTCAGTGTCAGACTGGAGCAAGAACCTTGAGGTGGTGTTCCAGGATGAAGAAGGTGAGCTATTTCGGCATTTTGAAACAATTATAACTCACAGACTGGGTAATTTTAGCATTGTTGTGGTTTTCTTAGCCGTGTTGCTGCAGATTGCAAACACATTCATTACTCATGCAAAACAAAATCAGGAACATAAAAATGATTATAAATAAGAGGATGCCATTTGGTGGTATTTACTTTGTCCACCAATCACATCCAGCTGCTGCTTGAAGGAATTCAGGGTATTTGATTCAGCAAGGTCACTGGGTAGCTTATTCCATACTGCCACAACCCTTTGGATAAAGAAGTGCCTTGTGTTCTCATGCACTTCTGCACTTTCACATGTTTCTCCTGGTTTTATTTTTCAAATGATCGGGTTATTTAATGACAGGGTTCAGTCAGTCATAACCGAAAGAGTAACATCTGAAAATTAGAAAAGGAGCAGAAGATAATCGCACAACATACAGAGCTGGAGTTGCAGTCATGCACGTTTGAAAAGAAGAGTGCAAAAGCCCGGGGATATTTCTAGTGTTCAGAATTCTGAGAACGTCATATGTTGTCTTTTGTGAACGATATCTGTTTCTGCAGCCCTGGACTGGGGGGGGCCTCGCAGAGAGTGGTTTGAACTCATTTGCAAGGCGCTGTTTGACACCTCCAACCAGCTCTTCACACGCTTCAGTGATAACAACCAGGGCCTGGTAAGGAGCTGCTAGTTTCATTATTTTCAGGCTGCATTTTGTTTTTTAAAGTATGTTAGCCACACTGCATGTACTCTTAATGGCATGCATTGTTTTATGAAGTACCTGTGACTGAGAAACAAAATTCTCCCATAAGCTTTGTGTGCGTGTAGATACAGACCTCAGTCGTTCATGTCATTGTGGATGCAGGTCCACCCTAACGCGGATCGACCACCCCACCTGCGCCTGAAGGTGTATGAGTTTGCAGGCAGAGTGGTTGGAAAGTGCTTGTATGAGTCAGCTTTGGGTGGAGCATACAAACAGCTGGTGAGAGCCAGGTTTACACGCTCCTTCCTGGCTCAGATCATTGGCCTCCGTATGAATTATAAGGTGGGGAAAGCAATCATTTTGTCTCAGGTTTAACACAATATTTGTAATAGCTTTTGTGTTAGCTTTTTTTTAAATTCCAACATCTGGTTTGTAAAGAAATGCTTAGAAATGTAAAGAAATTGCATGCTGCATTTTCATGTGAGCAGATGATTTTAAGCTTGATAGTATTAAATGATTTTGATCAAAATTGAGTAAATATCAGATCTAATGGTTACAAGAAAAAATCCTGATTTCCATATTTTTATTACAGTACTTTGAAACAGACGATCAGGAGTTCTATAAAACTAAAGTCTGCTTTATCCTAAACAATGATGTCAGTGAAATGGATCTTGTTTTTGCTGAGGAAAAATATAACAGATCTGGACACCTGGAGAAGGTACTTTCTAAAATGTAATTTAATAGATTACAATATTTATGAAAGGGGAAGATGTCAGTTTCTTTTTCTTGTATTTGTGAATGCAAGTATTTTTAAGTTATTTACAATTACACAAGTGCAATTAAAATTAATGTGAAATTAAAAGACAAAACAGATTTCAGACCTTTATTAAAAGTTGCCAGGATACCAGCTTTGACAGCATGGGAAGATAACTTGTGCCAGACTCCCAAACCCTTTGTGCAAAAACATACCTCGTTTTCTTCCCTCCTTTTCAACATGGTCTTCTGGTCTTCTGGTTCATATTTCACTACAGATTCTGAAGAAGTCTGTCATGTTGCCTTGATCAGTAGCTTTGAGTACTTTGACTTATATAATCAAGTCCCCTTGTAATCTTCTCTATTCAAGTTTGAAGACATTGAGTTTGTTTAGCCTGTCACTTCAGTCCTTTAAAATCAGGGATGTGTTTGGTTGTTTTTTTCTAAACTGCTTTGCAACAAAGTGTGTAGAATTGTATGCAACACTTCAAATAAGGGCTTACCAGTGCATTGTACAATTTTAATATATCATCCCTTGATTTAAATTCTACATTTTTAAATGTATTTGATATGATATATAATATTTGATTATATTTCAATGCTCTTTCTCATTTCCTTGATGTCAACATGAACTCCTAAGTCTTTCTCTTAAGTAGCGTTTTCAAGATTAGCATTTCCATCTGTTAATTTGTTTTTACTAACTGCATGTAATGCTCTTTGCTTATCTGGGTGTTTGGTAAACATCTTGGTAAACTTGGTGTTTACCAAGACTCAGACTTTGTCTTAGTTTTTAAAAAACTTTACTTTGCTTCTTCTACTATTTTAGTAGAGTTTGTAAGCCTGACTTGTTGACTAATTATACTAGAATCTAGATATTCTATTGATATAAATGAAGAAGAGCAGTGGTCCCTGTACAGATACCTGTGGTACTCCAATAATTATATCACCTCAGCTTGAGCATTCACATTATGTATGGTTTTCTCTCCATTAACCAATTCTCAGCTGGTCAGATTTCCCAATCCAAATACATCCATTATTTTGCCTAATGTCTGTAATCTTCAGAATTGTTTTTAGGAAGGATTTAAAAGTGTTATATATAATGATCTTTTGTCTTATATTAAGTTTAATTAGAACTGACATGTGAATGTGGTGGTCATACTGGAGCACGGAGCATACTCCTAAGACTGCTGTTGAGCTCTAGTTTAACCATGTTCTCTTATTAAGTTTGGTTAATCTAAGACCTTGAAGTAAATGGTTTATAGTCGAGTATGTTGAATGAAAAAAGTGTCCCGTTTTCCACATCTGCAGGTGGTGGAACTTATCGCCGGAGGTTCCCAGATTGCAGTGACCAATGAAAACAAGATCCACTATTTAAATCTCTTGGCACAGTATAGGTTGGCCAACCAGGTTAGGGAGGAGGTAGAGCATTTTCTCAAAGGTGAGAATGGTGCACTTATAATTTTAGCAGCAATTTTTTCATATACTATGTCTGCTGGTCATAGCAGACTGCTGGTTCATTAGAATGAGATTTCAGATTTAAAAAGAATATATTACTTTAGAATAAATCATACATTGTTTTAATTTATTTTTATTTTTAAAGTCTATTTAAATGTTTTAGCTTAATTCTTGCTGACATTGTTCCTGGAGCTGACCTCTTATCACCCTATAGATTTATCATTTATGATTTCTCCATCTACGGAAATCTTAACAGGGTGAAGTGCGGGTGTGCCCCAGAGAAGATAACTCTGTTTAAACAGTTGGGAAAGCTTCATTTTCACTTATTTTTTTTGTCTAGGTTTAAATGAACTAGTTCCAGAGAACCTCTTGGCTATATTTGATGAAAATGAGTTGGAGGTATGCGGAATTCCTTCTTCTTGACTTCTATGGATTTGTTTAGAGTGTGTTATGCTTGTTATGCCGTGAACAGTTTTCCATGTTTACTGTGTTTTATCATCATCGCTTTTCTATGTCTGTTTATGGAAGTTACCCCTTTAGCTGCAGTTCATATATTTCAACACCGAGGTGATTCAGCATATTTAAGTGAACATCATCTCTAACGAGGCATCACTGAAATAGAGAGCCTGAGAATTCCACGATACATGGATTCATCATCATTTTCTCAAATAACTAAGAGAAGCTTAAGTGAGTTTTCTTTTAATAATGCTCCAATTACCTAGACAGAATCTGGCTCCAATACTGATGAGAAAAAGGTCCTGTCCCATAGCTGAGCTTTAGAGGAAGAGGAATATGATGAATAATGATGATGTTCCTGCTTTGCTTCCTCTTGTATCCTCCCTCTGTCCTACTTCCTTTCATACTCCGTTGTCCCTGAATTTATACTATGATCCGTTTTTATGGAGGCTGGAATAATGACCTGCCTAGATATGACCTTGTCACTGTTGAATGTTTATTCTTTAATATGATGATTCTTATGATTTGCAGTGACGTTTAAATAACAGCATTATGAACACTGCTTTATCATGTGTTTCTTCCTCCATGTTTACCTGTGTATTATCCAAAGGAGAGCTATGTAAATATCAAACAATAACCATTGTTTAAAACGTTCTTAATAATGTAATCAGGAGGGGAAGTGATAATTTTGCTGAAACTCATTCAATACCAGGATGTCTCCTGTGATTTGATTTTGCAGCTGTTGATGTGTGGCACTGGGGATATCAATGTCATGGACTTCAAAGCCCATGCTGTGATTGTTGGGGGTTCTTGGCACTTTAGAGAAAAGGTAGGTAAATGGGGAACTTAAAGTACATTTTGTCTACCTGAAGTCGAAGGACAATGCAGAATGATCGGAAGTTGTTGACATTGGGATTTCTGAATGTGTGGTGAAACGCAGGTGATGAAGTGGTTTTGGGCTGTAGTGTCCAGCTTCACCCAGGAAGAACTTGCTCGTCTGCTGCAGTTCACAACAGGGTCCTCTCAGCTTCCTCCTGGAGGTTTTAACACGCTGTGCCCTTCCTTCCAAATTATCGCTGCTCCGACGCACAGCACACTGCCAACTGCACACACATGGTGAGTAACAGATCTTTACCATCTGTACACGTGGTAACGGGCACGTGTATGTGTACCGTCTACACATGCGTGGCGGGTAACAGACATGCATGAATGTATATTAACAGCGAAAAACCTACACCTTCTGACTCAATACAGGGTATATTATGCATATTGCAAAAACTACACGTCAATTCATAAGCCTTTTACACTCCATAACTGCATTTCAGGACATTTAGATAGCAGTGTCCATTTTTTGCAGTAAAAATGTATGTTTTGTATTCAGTTATGTAAATTAAGAGAATTATGAGCAAAACATACTCATACTAATATTGTTCAAAATATATTTTTTTAAAACTCCACAGTTTTAACCAGTTGTGCCTCCCCTATTATGACTCCTATGAGGAACTGCACAAAATGCTGAAGCTGGCCATCAGTGAAGGCAGTGAAGGCTTTGGGATGCTCTGAGTCTTTGGAGCTGTCCTGCAGGAGCATCTTGGTGAAGGTACAGAACAGGGAGCAGGATGATCGAAAGTGTGGAAAAAGTCGATGGCAAAAACAAAAATGCTTTGACATTTCAAATGAATCCAGACGCTGTGTATATATGGTCGACTGAAGTTTTAGTCTAGATGCTAGAAATACTTTTATAATGTATGAGTAAGTGATGAGGGAGAAATCTGAGTTACACTGAATGAACAATGAGCTTTTTTCAATGCTGAAATGCAATATGTTGAACTATTCAATCCTCTTTGAGAAGTCATAGACTACAGGAATAATAAGTAGCAATTTGCATGAAATCAAAATATACTGTATAACAACAACACTTTGGCCTTAATTGCAGACTAATCAGGGAAGAAGAAAAAAAAACTTAATTTGTTACAAAAAAGGGACTCATTTTGGTAGTGGAGAGGAGTGAGAGATGGAAAACTTCCCCATTGCTGGGTTTTTGGTCTAGGAAGAATATTTTGATTGATCATTTAGCCAAAGTCATCACCCTGAGTGAAACAACATAGATTTTCTTTTGAAAAGGAACTGGTGATGTCCTCTTTCACAAAGCTTTCACAGGGTAGTCTAGTTAAGACTTTGCTTTGAAGGTTCATTTGGAATATTTATTAATAATGATCTTGCAAAGAGACTTCCAATGTCTCTTGCTTTTAGCATCTCCTTTTAAGTTATGTTAACATTAAAAATGTGATTTCCATGAAAGTCCTGCAGTGCATGTGTCTTTTCACTGAGGAATGCCATTGTATAAAGTTGAGCTCCTTTTTAGGGCTTAATTGCATTTGAACTGTGACTTATTTTTTTAACCTGCCTTATTTTTAACCCTTTGCATCCTAGACATATAAATGAATACAGAGTAGTAAATATAGACATGTTAATACATATTAAATGCTTTCAGGGAAGACTGATTGTTTTGTTTGATGACGTTCATTTGATATTGTAATTTAGAAGTATTGCTTTGTCAAAGTTGTCTGTACAGTTCACAATGTTGCACTTAAGATGTTGGTGTAAAGACATGAGGCCCCATTAACACAGCTGTAAACCTTACATACAGTGCACCACATGTGAATTCACTGACACAGAGGATGCATATTTATTGTACTTTTAAACTTGAAATCTGGCCTGTCTCATCAGGGAGATTAACGTTTGCCTCCATCAGTAACAGCTTAATTCCTTAAGCAAGGCACAGAACGTGATGTCTAGGCTTTAGATTTTAGGAATGGAGTATGTTAGCTGAGCTGTAAGAAGTAATCTCATAAGGACTGTTTTCTCTGTGCCTTACTGTTACCAGTACATTTACATTGTAACCATTGAAGTGCACAGAAAGTGCAATCACAGAAATAATAATATAGCAATGAATCAATGCCCTTAAGCATCTTTTTCATGAAGCTGGTACTGAATGTAGGAGTGGTTTGGATCATCCGTGTAACTACAGGGGATCTAAATCGGAGTGCTGTACTGAAACAAGCAGGTAGAAAGTGCGGGAAGTGAAGCATACTGGTTACATTTAATGATGCATGATTTTTAAATATTGTTTTGCAACCAAAAAGATTTTGTCTCCATTCTGGTGCTTTCTAGACTGCTGTTTTTATTTTTCTTCTTGTGTTTCGTGTAAAAGTAATGTATTCTTACTAGTTCAGGTGGGTAGCTGTGTCAGCATGCATAGGCTGCAAAGGAACAAGTAATAGGTTTATTCCATGCTGGAAAAAAAGAAGAAAGAGAACACAACGTTTCGGCCGTGGAGCCTTCTTCAGGTGTGAGACCTTCAGGTGTGAGACCTCACACCTGAAGAAGGCTCCACGGCCGAAACGTTGTGTTCTCTTTCTTCTTTTTTTCAGCATGGAATAAACCTATGTATTCTTACTGTTTTACAAAGACATTAAATGAGGCTTAAAGGTGAGTAAAGTAGACAAGATGAATTTGTGCATATTAAGAGACGGCAAGATGAAAGGTACTGCATGTTTAATTTATTTTACAGGTCAATCTAAGGAACATGATATTGGAAGATCAAGTTTCAAATGAGCCACTGCATGTTGTTGTTTAATGGTACAAACAAATGTCTATCTTTTGTCAGGATGCAAAGGTTTAAAAGTTTTATTTTATTATTATTTTATGATAGTTATTTTTATTTGTATTTATTTTTTGAAAATCGCCATGAAGAATATATTGATTTTGGCGTGGTGTGTTGAATAGCTGAAAATGTGTTTATATTTCAGTGATTCTTAATATAAATCGTATCTCAGTGACAAACATTCAGAATGTTACAATGCTGTTGGTTTATCAGCTTGTACAAATAAGTTGGTTTTCATTTCAATTGTCTTATTCATGCATCTCTCAGTTCTCTGAAGAATTTCGTTCCCAAAATGTGAATAGTTGTCACTTCATGCCTGTGATTAGTTTGCTAAATTTCCCGATGAATGTTGAAACAATGAAAACAATGTATTATTTTAAATGGATTGGAAGCCAAAATACACATTTCTATATTATATTCATGCAATATGTAAAAGTGGACCATTGAGTAAGACCACAGAGCCACCTGAGCTGTCTGCTTAATTAACATCTTATTTAAGACTGTATGTTACTACCATATTGTAACAGTGTTGGAAATAGCTGATGTACAGATTCATTTTCTGATCTAGAGAAAGCACATTATGTATACCTCGTGTGTATAGCACACTACTTCTATGTGATTTCCTACCCTTTTCTGAAAAATATAAAAGCATTAAAATCTTTATTACTTGTCTGAAACAGAATTACTTGTTTAAGGCATGTGTTCGCAGGTACATGCAGAGGAATTTGGGGTCATCTTAGTTTATTTGCTGCAGGCAAGCATACTTCATAACCTGTCAGGTATGAAAACTATTGTTAAGAATTCAGAATTGAAGCTACATGCAGTACAGTGCTGGTTATGTTTCAGTATGTCAAATTTTAATAAAGCATAGTATACCTAGTCAAAATGTGTATTTAATAATGAGACATTTCAAATAAGAGGTTGTTAATTAATAGTATAGTGTTTTTTTGTATAGGTTTATCTTGGTACCTTCTGGTAAGGCACCATATACCAGGAATGGAAATATTCTTAATGTCAGGCAAATTGCTTACTATATGGTGAAAATTGTCTGTGTGTAGCATCCATCCCGTGTGAGGAGTTCCATTAAGCCGCTGGGCCAAGACAGTAGAAACCACTGGGTGTGTTGTCGAACCTTTTCACATGCTGCAACAGAAGCAATGCACTTTTTTGCGATTAATTATCTATTTCTGTCAAAAACAAAGCAGTGAAATATATCAGTGAAAGTGTGAGATTATTCCAAAGTTTAATTCTGTATGATTTCGAGATTCTCAACAGGTCTTTGGTTTCAAGAAGCTTTGCTTTCCCATGAAAATCCTGCCATCTTTACTACAGATGCAGTTTTAAATGGGTGAGCTTAGTGCTGGGTTTGGGAAAACCTGTGTTAGAAGGGAAGCAGATTTTTAACTCCTGTAAATATTGTGAAATACTTGCCTATGGCTGGAAGGTGTGATTTTTTTAAAAAAATAAAATGATTTGTAGAATACAAAACTGTCAGCCATCAAAAACGAATGTCTGAATTTTATGCACTGTTAAATATTTTGATGGCAGCAATGCTACTCTGTTGTTTATGAGATAAATAAAGTCAAAGAAATGTCAATTTTGCCTTGTTTGATAATTATTTAAGAATATACTTTTTCCAAATTTTTGCTGTTTTATTAGCCACTATGCCTTTGGGGGTTGGTTTTAAAGTTTTGATAGATCCCAGGATGCTGGAGCCAGTATTATACAGTATACCTTATCTAACATCAAAATTTGTGTCCAATGTTATTAGTGCTATTTAATAAGCAGGTAACCTTTTAGAGTATGATTAAAATCAACAGAGTAGATTAGACATAAGTTTTAAAGAATGATGAATAATTTTCATGCCAAGTGAAAAAAGTGGTTTGATCAAAGAGCAATGATACATGTTTGATATTTGATGATAAGAATATTGAGAACATTAAGATGTCTTAAGTTCTTTGACTTATTAGACTGTAGATATTTGGACAGCTGAACAGCCAGGTTTCTGTTGTTGATAACTTGGCTCACCTTAGAAGTCCATTTGTACCACTTGATAACTACAAATAACTAACAGCTGGAGAAAATGCACAGACCTGACAATGTGTCCGGTCTGTGAACAGGAGATATAGATCAGATTTTCATTGTTTCACTCTTAGGGGAGTCTTTTAATTATTAATCTGGCATGGAGGACAGCTGAGGGTGATTACTATAATGCTTCCAGGGGGACAGAAGGTTATTCCAGGGTTGTTGCCTTGAGAACTGTCAGTGTTAAGCTTCAGTTGATACCATTTGCAATGTGTGTGTCTGTGTTGGAGTACAAACCATCAAACCATTTGACCTCTTTTTTTTTTTTCTTTGACGGCTTACAAAATCATTCGACATTTTGAGTGATCAAATGCCCCTTTACAGAATATTTTTTACGTTACTGTGCAAACTCTGGATGGGTTTCTTTGGGCTGTAGTATGAGATCTGATTTTGACAGTAAAGAATTTTATTTCTGTTCTTTCACGTCCATTTACTTACTTTGATCCTGGATTGAAAACAACTGGAAAAAAAAAATCTTTACGTGAAATGAAATGCAAGAAACACAATGTAATAAAGTTAGGAAAGGCAGTTAAACCTCACAAAAATAAAGTTTTCATGGGATCCTATGGTCCTTTGGTAAAGTTGTTCTCTGCTCTCAGGTCCGACCCGAGAAAGTGGTTTTCATTGCTACTTTAATTAAATCAAAATAAGAACATTGCCATTAGGATAACAAAGGGAGGTAAAAACTCTTTAAAAAAGGGTTTTAGCAAAATTTTATTTTCTTTAGTATTTAAATATCACTAATAGGCTTTTTCTGAAGGGTATTTTTGTTATTTAAAAAAAACCAAGAATCTGAAGACATCTATTGAATGTGTGTCCTCCACCATTTCTCTCCAGAATATTCCATAGCATTGGGTTCTGTAACAACCACAAATATGACATCAGTATTTGACTGGATATCTGAACTTGAGCTTTAATTTAAGCCGTAAATCAGGCTTCTACTGTATAACCTTCCAGAGATATTAAAAAATGTTTGAGGGGACATCATTCCAGGTGGAAATTGACTGAGGTCTCAGTTGGTTAATGAGCTGTGGAAGCATGTAGAATGAAGCTAGTGTGTGCTCTAGAAGAGTGTTAGACTTGATTCTTCCCAGAGAATGAACAACCAGCACCGTAGAAGACATTGGGATGAAGGTCTCGAACTTAACTGAGGATCTGTTTCGTCTTCACAGTTCTGCTTTAAAACCAGTCCCTGCTTCTTATTCTGATGTAGGTGAAAAAATGTTAAAAGAAGTTTTGACACCATTTCACTTTCATTTGGTGCTTTTTATACGGAACACTGCTTTTAAAAGGATTTTTCGTTTTAAATGTGGACTTCAGTATAGCAATAATCTCTGCTCTAAAATGCGTACCAGCGGGGAAAAAAATCGTTTTTTACATGCATGAAATTATTAGCCAGATCTGGCCACTTGCTAATGTCTTTCTCATCTGAACATTTCCACTGGGACAAATCTGATGATGTAACATCTTTAGGAAGAGCTGGCACAAGCAATACTATGGTTCATGCATTCACTGCTTTTTCCCAGACAATGAGTGCAAAAGACTTGACTGGTGAGGTCTTGTCAATAGTGTAACATATTAGACTTCAAGGCTGATTATTGTAGAAGTGGGTAAAAGATGCCATGTTATTACCTGATAAGACCCTAAACCTTGTTTTAAGTAGCAGGTTGTTCTCAGTCTACAGTGTGATATTTAAAAATATGCTGAAGTCATGTGGGGTTGGATCTAAAATGAATTCTATTAATCCTTTTACCCCCAGGGCAGTCATGATGATTAAATTCTAAGCAAGATATTAATTTAAGCACCTATAAGCCACACTGTTTTCCGATCATATTTTTTCCCTTTCTTTTATTGGGGATCTTTGAACTGCACCCTTGACAGCAAGCCACAGCTGAGCAGCCAGGATTCTGTTGTTGATAACCTGGCTCACCTTAGAAGTCCATTTGTACCACTTGATAACTGCAAATGACTAACAGCTGGAGAAAATGCACAGACCTGACAATGTGTCCAGTCTGTGAACAGGAGATATAGATCAGATTTTCACTGTGATCAGGTTTTCATTTTCAGTGTAACTTCCACCAGAGGAAGTCCTGAACTACAGCTACAGCAAACCATGACCCTTCAAAAAATAATTTTGACTAAACCATTTGTGTGCATGCAGTTTACAGATAATTACACTAATTTGCCTTTTTTATTAGAAATAGTGCAGCAGTGCTATTTTCTTAAAGACGCATGCTAGTTCAAAGAACTGTATTTTCAGGTTCATGTATTTGATAATTTGTCAGACTAGTTGAGGTTTCTGCCAAAGTAAAGCCATGAAGGGTAAATATTTAAGTACTAGTCAGGCAGTGCAGATTAATCTCCGTTTTAATAAAAGATGTCAGTAATTATTAATTATAATAACAAAACCAGGTGAATGTCAGGCTTATTCTGGGACCAGTGCCATGAAATAGAAAATGTGGAAAGGGGGCCAACTCAAATTATTCCCTCCCCAAGG